CCATCATGTTCTGCACATGACTCACCCATCATGTTCTGCACATGACTCACCCATCATGTTCTGCACATGACTCACCCATCATGTTCTGCACGCGAGTCACCCATCATGTTCTGCACATGACTCATCCATCATGTTCTGCACACGAGTCACCCATCATGTTCTGCACATGACTCACCCATCATGTTTTGCACATGACTCACCGATCATGTTCTGCACATGATGTAGTCGTCAAAAGTAACGTTGCCGTCCTTGTCGCCGTAGCGCAGCATGAGCGCGTCGCAGATGTGCTTGTTGAGCCTGTAGCCGCGCTCGCCAGCGCCGCGCGGAGCTCAGGACAACTTGGAGGATCCGTCCTTGTCGGAGAGCTGGAAGCAGTTCTGGGGGTTGGAGGGTTATAATATGAGACAGAGGTTATAACTACTATGTAAGTCTAGAGATAAGATGATATAAACATTACAACTCAGAGGACTCATACTTATCATGGAGCTTGAAGTAGTTATGGGGGGTGGAAGAGTAAGGCCATGGTTATAACAACGTAAATGTTAACAAATTTCTATTAGCTTTCTTTGACGTAGTTTTAGAAGTAGTCCTTGAAGGTGGAAAGGGAATAACCAGAGTCATACCCATACAAACCTTTACTCTTCTCTGATCAATGGTCAAAATCTCGGATCTCCCTACGCTTCCCTATATTTTGCCTACATCAAACCTTGTCACACGACGGTCACAGCTCTCCTCAAGCTCGCGAGTCCTTGGCTGCTGACGTCGTCCCCTTTGAAGTGTTCAACAAAGTCGACCACACTCTCCTCCTTCCCATTATTGCGATCTACGACCTTCTTCATAGCATAATTCGGTAGCTATTTATATGCTATACCCTTTGCATTAGATACCGATCTCAGTTCAGGGCAGCCCAGAAGGGAGTCCCCAAAACTTGGCTGTATCTATCCCTTGCGCCCCTGAAATACGCTGTGACTGACTGCTTTTAGCGGCGACATCGCATAACAGGCTGATTGACGTATCATCTTTGTTACGACCGCGATGCTTCACGCTTCAGAGATGGTAAATCATCCTTCACGCTTTTCACAATATAATGCTTCACGCTATCAGGCACGTGGTCCTCCTTTGTCCACCTTTCCCAGCGCGTGCATGACCATCGAAATAAAAAGCTACAACCCACTCCCAGAGTGCTAATGCCAACATGGATGTACTCACCTTCCAGGTGCGGATGTCGGTCCAGGGTCGGATGAACTCGTGCAAGCCAAGTTCGCCGGAGCGGTCGATGTCCATCATGGAGATCATGGAGCGGTAGATGTCCTTACTGAAGCTTTCGAATTCGAACTCTGCGGGGTCAGGAGTTGAGTTGAAATTCAAAACCAGGTTGAAGTTATAACTGGACTGTTGGTAGTGCAGCAATGGCATGCTCTCAACATACGACTTGCTCCTCAATTCTTAAAATGAAATCTTTATCAAAATGTGGAGTTTACAACAGCCTGTGTCAGTCTTACCCACTCACCCCTCTCCATGGCGTAGTTGAGCACACACTGGAGTTCACTCCAGTCAATCNTCACCCGTCTCCATCGCGTAGTTGAGCACACTCTGGAGTTCACTCCAGTCAATCTCCAGCCCCCTCACCCGTCTCCATCGCGTAGTTGAGCACACTCTGGAGTTCACTCCAGTCAATCTCCAGCCCCCTCACCCGTCTCCATCGCGTAGTTGAGCACACTCTGGAGTTCACTCCAGTCAATCTCCAGCCCCCTCACCCGTCTCCATCGCGTAGTTGAGCACACTCTGGAGTTCACTCCAGTCAATCTCCAGCCCCCTCACCCGTCTCCATCGCGTAGTTGAGCACACTCTGGAGTTCACTCCAAATCTTCGCGGGTGACTTTGGGAAGAAACCGCGGCTGCGATCGTCTTGCTCCGCGGCCTCCTCCTCGCTGGGGGGCTTCACCTTTGGGAGGAGGCTGGGGGTTGTAAACGAGGCTGGGGGTTGTAAACGAGGCTGGGGGTTGTAAACGAGGCTGGGGGTTGTAAACGAGGCTGCGGGTTGTGAACGAGGCTGTGGGTTGTAAACGAGTCAGGGGTGGTATATGTTGATGAAGTTTGTATATGACGATGTGGTTTATACATGAGTATGAAGTTTATACACTAGTATGTGGTCATGTATGGGGATAGGTTTGTACACGAGGATGGGTTTCACGCGTAGGGATGAGGGTCATGCAAGAGGGAGGGGTTTTTATAAAAGGAAGATGGGAGTCACACATCTATTACATTATAAGACTTCATCCTCTGTGCTGGTCTGTGTTAAATGTCTGCTGATTCGGATAAACTTCTGACATTTTTGCCTAAAATGTTGGCCTTGCAGGACAAATTTGGGGTGGGTGTGTGAAGGATTTCAGGCGAAAAGAGGCAAATTTGTACAGGTTTATGAATTAGTGCAGGTGAAAAATTGTATTTGCTGATTGGATCAAGTATTTGCCCATAAGTAAAATTTCAGCCGTTGAACATGACTGATAAGTATTTAGGTTGACATTTGTCAAATTTTCGACAAAATTTGTCTTGGAGAATTTTTGATGGTTTAGCAGCAAGAAAAGATATCAAAAATTGCTTTAATTACTCTTACATTTCTCTAATTAAATTAATCTATGTAATTACTTATATTAGTTATATTATTTTCGGAAAAAACAACCAGGCGATGACCAAGGAAACGAAATGAACATACTGTATCTTGGATTTACGAACAAAACTAACAATTAGCATGCCGCTAAACTCATGATAAATCAGAAGATCTCACATCCTCTAAATAATATCGACCATAAAAAATTCGATAAATAAGAATCTTTCCAAACAATGCATAAAAGGTAGCGTTTTTCAAATAAATTACACTTTAACTAACCGGCACAATTTGGTGGACATCACAAATTGCATGCGAAGGCTCTTATAATTAGGCCCTCTTCAACGGGCGTCGATAGGGCACACACGTTTTGGGATGCACATCTACAACCCCTGGCAAAAATTATGGAATCACCGGCCTCGGAGGATGTTCATCCAGTGGTCTAACTTTGTAGAAAAAAAGCAGATCACAGATATGACACAAAACTAAAGTCATTTCAAATGGCAAGTTTTTGGCTTTAAGAAACACTATAAGAAATCAAGAATAAAATTGTGGCAGTCAGAAACGGTTACTTTTTTAGACCACCCGCAGCGCCGAGGTCTCCTTTCAGCAAGAGGAAGCGAACTACTCAAACATGTGTGGGAATATCCATTGAAAAAATCCCCGCAAAAATATGAATTGCTTGGGGACGCTTCCACTTGAAGGATTTTGGGGGACTTACATGGGGACGCTGGAAGGACTTGGGGGGACTTACATGGGGACGCCGGAAGGACTTGGGGGGACTTACATGGGGACGCTGGAAGGACTTGGGGGGACTTACATGGGGACGCTGGAAGGACTTGGGGGGACTTACATGGAGACGCTAGAAGGACTTGGGGGACTTACATGGGGACGCTGGAAGGACTTGGGGGGACTCTTGCTGAAGAAGGTCGACGAGTCGTGCGCGGGGACGGCAGGTCCCCGAGCAGGACGCCGGTCTCGGGGCATTGGTCCCGGATGCGCGCGAAATCCTGCGCCCCCGCGGCCGTGCAGACCGGGGCCCCGAACTGCGGGGGAGAATAATTTGTGTATTTTACAAATATTTATATATTTCAGAGATATTATTATTTATTAAAGATATTAATATATATTAAAGATACTAATATATTTTAAAGGTATTAATATACTTTAAAGATATTAATATATTTTAGAGATGTTAATATAATTTACAGATATTAATATATTTTAAATATTTAAATATTAATATACTGTATTTTAAAAGTATATTTGAAAGAATATTAATAACTGATAAAATAACGATATTTATGAACTCGAAATAATTATATATATGAAAGACCTTTTCCCCATGACGGTGTAGCCCCGAGCCCCGCCCTCCCCACTGGGGAAGAATAATTAATGTATTTTTCAAATATCATAGAGGAATAACTTTTAAACTTATTTGTCAATTAGAAATAAATTATAAATGCAAGCACTTGTGCCCCACACCCGCGCTGGCCTGACGAGCGCCTCGCTGCCCTCCCAACTGAGGAGGCTGGCGAAATTAAAATAATTTATAGAATATAATTGAAGATAAATACATTTATGGAGAAAATCTTATATGTTATAGAATATAATTGAAGATAAATACATTTATAGAGAAAACCATAATTGAATGCATCGAATTAACTAAAAATTGTCAGTGCAGAAATTGATATTTGATCTAACGTTGTTTCATGAGAAAAAAAACGAATTCAAAATAAATATACATATTAATAATTAAGTATTAACTCAAAGTAAGATATAAATGAGAGAAAACTGAGAAGAGATGAATTGAATCGCCAAAATAGCGACCCAACCTTTGTTAAATATGCGATGAATTAGAAGAGAATGGATATATTATATATTGAAAATACTCTTAAATTACTTATTTTTAGTCGACAAACGAAAGTAGGAAATAACGTATAATGAGAAGGATACTGAGATTATCCCAGAAGGATAGTGAGATTATCCCTGAAGGATACTGAGATTATCCCACAAGGATACTAATCCCGTCTCCACAGTGTTGGGACTTACAATAAAAATAAAAAATGGATTAACGGAATAGATGGAATTATATTATTTTATTATTTCTATATATCGAAATTCTTTCTATTTATAGTAATTCTCTTTATATATATAAAAAGCTTTCAATATATATAGAAATTCTTTCCATGTACAGAAATTCTTTCTAAATGTAGAAAATGTTTTTATTTACAGCAATTATTTCTATACACCGATGATATAAAAAGAAACACAGATGACCTGCTTCTATCATCGCGGCACTGATTGTTGCACTCAATTCAATGAGTGTGTTTAATGTTCCTGTCTAACTTGCTGCAATAATTCCATTTACATAATAAATAATGAATAAAAATATTAAATTTCAGAGATGCACGTGCCAGTCGCACCACAGAGACGAGCACACTGACCGTCTCTGCGCACCATGCCTTATCTCTGCTGTTATTCTTATCGCTTCAGGATGATATGAGATTTACAATAAAGGGTTCTTATTATAGATTACCTTTACATTAATGTTATATGAAAGTTATCGTATGTTGGATAACTTATACATATTGATTACATGAATTATATATAAACAAATAGTTTTGGCTGGCGTTAAAAGGGACAGATTACACTGTGCAACAAAAAATTTTTTTTTCATAACTCAAACCAAAATACCTTTCTCTAAAGGAATCGAGGTCGCTGATTCCAAATCTGCAAACAGAAGTACTCTAGCACGCATAGTTTTCGAGATATTCAAAAAATAATTTGATGAAATTCATAAAAATAAAACATTTGGTAATTTGAACATGATTAAATAATATTGGATTATACATTTCAAACATCCTATTTATGTAATCAAAATATAAAAAAATGGTAATCAAGACAGTTTTAAAAGAAATCTTACCTAATTGCTATGATATTTATTTTACAAATGCTTTTTCCCTCTTGATTTGCGACGGTGAGTAGATTCTTCCTCCCTTTGTAGCAACCAAACAACAATAGTCTCCCATCATATATGGATTAAAGCGACCTTGATACCGACTTTCCAAAAGCGCAATATCTGGGTGAAAACGCTCACCATGCTCATCACTTATATCCCCAAGGTTTTCAAGGAAAAAATCCAAGTGGGAAAAAAGCATTTCCCAAGTGGGAAAAAGCGAGGGAAAAATCCAGATTATTGGAACAGCAAATGGCATACTCTTTCTTTATGAGCTTAACCATTGTGTTTAACTGACATAGCAGTTATAACAGCAGATATGATGTGCCCAATTTTTATCCTGGTCCCCAACTTGTCAGCCAAAATAGCGCCTGTATGCTGTCTTCAAGTTGGAGGCCAGATTTTTTCTCTGATCTTTTGGGGTAAATTTGCCTCAAATGTAACAGAAATTGTCAGGGTTGTTGTTACAATTTCGACGATTCATTTCAAACAATTACTGCTTAATTGAAATAAAAAAGTCAAATTAGTGCTTACTTCAGATTAATTAATAGCCTAGATTTATCACGACCAAACTTTTCTTTAATGAAATTGTGAAAAAGTTTCAGAAAATTCAATAGCAATGGTACAAACACTAAAAAATATAATCTCAGCCATTATTATACAATAAAAGTGCATTTGAAACCACCACCACCCAACACACTTTTACCAGGCAATCCTTATTTTGAATGTACTTTCACTTTTGAAGGCTGACCCTGAAGTTGTATGCATAAAATACTTTCACAAACATGACTTGAAAACCTGACGTGCTAGAGAAATGTCAAGGGCATACATGGAATCAGCGTAAAAAAACACATCAGATACAGGTAATTTCATACGAGTAGCAAAAGTTTTGTTGCACAGTGTTATCGGTGCAACTTGAGAATCCTGGTATCCTGAATACCGTCACCCCGAATACCGTCACCCCGAACACCGTCACCCCGAATACCGTCACCCCGAATACCGTCACCCCGAATACCGTCACCCCGAATACCGTCACCCCGAATACCGTCTATTTTTCGTTAGTGAAGACTGGCAAATCTTGAAGCAGGAATATCGCTACAAGAAATTTTAACGAAGGCGCACTTGTAGGCAAACCGTCGTCCATTTCAATACCCCACATTCAATGATGATTGATGACGTAAAAAGGTTGACGAAGAGTAGAATCAACACAATGAAGTATATCTGAGTAGATAGCATGACAAAATTCATATCTCTCAGACATACAACAAGGCGATGTTCTTTCTAGATCCCATGCGTTGTCGGAAATCCTCTTGAACTTCTTAGACTCTTGAACTAGTCTGCTGGGAAATAATGTTTACTTAAAATGACTAAATAATAATGACTTAATAATGACTTGTGATAACAGTCTGAAAAATCAATATTTTTAATGAATGGAATGATTGATGATTGATAATATGAATGGAATAAATGC